CCGAGACGAGATTTCGCCAGAGCCGCTCTTGGGCTCCCCGATCCCCGGGGACACCCCGGGACAAGCGGTCCCCAGGGACACCCCGGGACACCCCGATCCCCGGGGGGTGGCAGAGCCCTCGGGCACCCGCTGCCCACTGCACTGCAGCTGCTGCCCCCACTTGAGCCGGTGCCCAGGATATCCCAGTCCCCCCAGTGCACCCCAGTCCTGCAGTGCCCCATCCCCAGCACAGCCTGATCCCCGCCGGTGGCAGGGCCCCAGCACGTCCCAGTTCTCCTCAGTGCTGCTCCCTCCTGCCCTCCAGTATACCCAGCCCAAGCCCAGTGTGACCTCCTTTCCCCCAGTATACCCCATCACAGCCCCAGCATGACCCCCATTCAACCAATACACCAGTCTTGACCCAGTAAGATCTCCATTCCCCCAGTATACCACAGCCTCGCCCCAGTATGACCCCCATTCTTCCAGTAAACCCCATCACAGCCGCAGTATGACCTCCATTCCTCCAGTATAGCCCATCATGGCATCAGTATGACCCCCATTCCCCCAGTATAGCTCAGCCCCAGTACGATTCTCATCCACCCAGTATACCCCATCATGTCCCCAGCACGACTACCACTCCCCCGGTGTAGCCCAGCCCAGCCCCACTGTGACCCCTGTTTCCCCAGTATAGCCTGTCATGGCTCCCAGTATGACCCCCATTCCCCCAGTACTGCCCAGCCCGGCCCCAGTATGACCTCCATTCCCCCAGTAGAGCCCAGCCCGGCACCAGTATCACCCCCATTCCCCCAGTACTGCCCAGCCCGGCCCCAGTATGACCCCCATTCCCCCAGTAGAGCCCAGCCCGGCACCAGTATCACCCCCATTCCCCCAGTACTGCCCAGCCCGGCCCCAGTATGACCCCCATTCCCCCAGTAGAGCCCAGCCCGGCCCCAGTATGACCTCCATTCCCCCAGTAGAGCCCAGCCTGGCCCCAGTATGACCCCCATTCCCCCAGTACTGCCCAGCC